TTAAGGGAAACAGTTGGAGCCATGACAGGCTGATGGGAACAGTCAGTCATTTTGTTGCTCAGACTCCAAGGCACTACAGAACTTAAATATATCAAAATGTAAAGAGATAGTAGTACCTATGGGCTATACAAACACCATGTTTACCAAAAACCCCTTACCTCTCAGACATGGCCAGCTGAATAACCTTAGGGCAGGATATTTGTCTGAGGTTCAACTGCTCTAGAGCTTGCAAACCAAATTTAACCCTCCTTGCAGAGAACTGCGCCCTAAAATACTGTCCTGAATTCACTGATGCTTGCTGCTTTGGCTTCTGAGAAACTCAGGGAATAGGCTGGTAGGATAAAAAGAATAGGGATTCACTTGCACCTTCACAGACCTGGTAACAGGGAACAAAAAACCATGATTTATACAGTCAAGGTGACCTGTGCAATAAGTTTTTTCTAAGTAATTCAATTGCTAATTAAAAAATGGCCAACTGAGCAAAGCAAAAGAAAACAACCAACCAAACCAAAAGCTTCCTTCTCTGTAGAGTTAACTAAGCAAGTAAAAGCTGTCCAGAGCACCAAGTTACTACTGAAATTGCTTGACTGAAGTATGCCAGCCAGCCTTTAAACCCAGCTGATGGATCCTGATTGATCCAGCTGCCTCCTACAGCTTCTTTCGGAACTGGAGGATGCTGGTACAGGAACTTGAATTTATGTTCTGGTAAGGAAGCTGCTGTGCTGCTAATGCCTTCATTGGCCTGACGTTTCTTGTCATAGGCAACAAAGTGAGAGTACAAGTGATGTCCTTTATTGAGAACCATACCCACCTTCCTTTTTTCTGTGTACATGCAAAGAAGATTCTATGTTAAAAAAGGTTACTGGCCTGATCCTAATGAGAACTTTTTTTCCCCAAATAGTCAGATAGACAAGCTTCCGCTGTCAGACAATCTCTTAATTGTAAAAAGGTGTATCATTTACAGCAGAAGCTACCTTCAAATTTGTGGAGTCACTGTCAGCTTTGTAAGTCTTAATAGTGTCTGCACGAGAGCAATTTCAGATCTTCATGGCATCCAGGATGCCTAGACCCATGTCCCCACACATGATGAACTTGAAGCAGCTTTGTGACAGAGCATCCACAAAGGTTTCCTCCAACTTGGGCTTTTCTGTTCAAATCCATTGTGCAGTTTCACTCTCATTTCAGCTAACCAGGAATTTTGGTAAGCTGACTAATTTTTCCTGGATTTGGCAGATGTCTGTAGGCAGCAGACCTACTAGGCAGGTAGTTTAGGCAGAGATCAGGAGGGAGGAGGAGTTATACTGCTTAAAGCCATTTCTATCAGGTTTATCTGCCTTCAGCTTTAGTGTTCAAGTGGAGACTGCCCAATTGCCTGTGTTATCTATCAGTGGTGGCCTTGACTTTGCTTTAAGCACAGACTTTGCTTCTGGTTTAGACAGCAAGTATGCTTTAGAGCCGCAGTGAAAGTTCCCTCGGTGGGTTAACATCTGGATAGAGTGCCCACAGGGTAGCTGGCAGGCAGCTGTGGGGTGAAGGAGAACATGTGTTTATGGCCGCTGACAGCGACTGCTCAGTCACATTAGTGCAGACGCAACCAACAGACTTCTGGGGAACAACACATACGATCAGGCATAATGTGCAAAAACGTGTGCTTCATTTTTATACTAATTTTCTTCATATGAGGCTGGGTAGGAATTCTTCTAAACAGTCGATGTGGCTTAAAATGGAGTCACTTAGATTATATGAAATTTGGTCACGACAACTGGGTTTTCTATATGCAGAGAAGAACACTACAGCATCAGAGTGTATTTTTATGCTGGTAGTACTGTAATAATAACCCTTCAGACTTCTGTTGATTGCATTGTTCTCCAAATTATCCTTTTGATGAAATTTCTACTGCTTGATCTCAGACAAAAAGTGAACAGTAAAAATCTGTTTAGTCATTTTTATGTCATCAATGAATCATCAAAACTAATGCTGACTTTGAAGCATGTTACATGTGTATGTCCACGAGGAAGTTACTAGGACAATATATCTCTTATACTCCAGTTATTTCATTGAGTTTATTTTTATAGGAAAGATAATCAGGTGAAGTAGTAATGGTTCACTGACTATAATTGACCAAAACCCCACAATAAAACAAAGCCAGACTCCCAAAGCATTGAAATTATCTCATTTATCTTAAGGAAAAAAAAGTCAAAAGCACAAAAAGCATTTTGGTCAAATTTGATGTTACAAAACTTTTAAATATTTATTTAATATCATGTTCTCCTACTCTGTAGTTATACTGTATATTTTTCTGAAAAAATAATATGCAAACAGATTATTGCATAACACATCTCTTCCAAATTAGCCCAGAAATATTCACTAAATTAATTTTTTAACACAATAAGAAAAGTGTTTTAATATTTCACGTTTAAATTCCAGAGAGTTTTATCACATAAGATATTCTGTGGAAAGCAGCACCTATTTACTTCTTTGTAAGCCATTATGAAAATGGAACTAGCCTCTCAGACAAAATAACAGAAGTGATTAAAACACAAGCTGAATAAAGAAGCTCACTGAGTGGGTTCTTGCAGAGTGAGTATTTCACTTGGCTGTGTGTGTGGAATATTTTGCATAATGGTCTACAGACCTCCTAGGATTTTGCTATTACAGAATATACATAGTGCTGAGACACAGAGAAGTGGTTATTTCACATTATGTCTATGCTTGTTTAGGGCTCACTGTCTATGCGGAATGAGTAAAAGTAATATTAAAAGAAAATAACTATAAACCAGAAAATATTTCATTATGCAAACAAAGAAAAAATACTGTATTTTAGTTTAGAGACAGTTCAGGCATATACAGCATATACATAATAAAGCTCAGGCGTTTCTTTTTTTGAGTTAGCTAAAGAAGCAGTCATGAAACTGTTGTATATCGGCTTAAAACTTGACAACCACCTAGTGCATTCTTCTTGCTCACCTTTTAAAAATACACAATCTGAGATGGATACATTGCACTGCTGGAGTTTACAATATATATTTCAAATTTACAAAAATACAGAAAAACAAGATTTCTTGCACTCAGATACTGAGCATTAACCCTTTGAGTACTAATTCCCACCTGCAACACTGCAGAACACATTCATCTGACTTACATGTTTTTATAACATTCTAACAATTATAATTGTCATTTTTATGTACACTATTAGGAAATGTATTCCTACATATTAAAAAAATGATAGACTACTACATTGCTAATAACAGAAAAATAATGGGCTGAAGTACGTGAAGATTTCTGCAACATATACACAGCAAATTGCAGACTGATGATCTCTCAAGGGAATTTTCTATTTTCTCTCTGCAGCAATGTAGCAATTACCTAAGCCTGTGTTAAGACATGACAGCAATCTTTCTCATGTGGCCATACAGAATTGTGCTTTTTCTCTTATTTATGGATGCACTGCTCACTTTCCACTGTAGACATTTTTCTCTCAGCCCTATGCTCCCATTCACTTTCTGCGATTCATTATTCTGCACCCTTCCTATTTGAAAAAAGCAGTTTTATTTCATATAGGGACAATTATGATGCAGTTTACTACTGTGAGTCGATGCTTTGTGTCCAGATGTTCATGGAAACATGAAAAAATTTCTTGCCAAGAGCCTTGTTAATAGAGAACGGTACTGACCCTGGAATGCCCTACAATTCAGCAGAAATCATGAACATAAAGAACTTCTCTGAAGGTCAAATTTGCATTAAAGAATGAAGACAATCTGAAATTTGCTAGGGGAGGAAATGAGTTTTCAGAAAGCAAGTGGTGAAATTAATAGATGGACTCTAAGAAGGTGTTTTTTTTGAAAATGACTGAACTTTCTCTTTCCGGACAACTCTGGACTACGTTGATCATGTAACTAAATAGACAATTTCATATATACAGTGTCTCTGAACTAGAATAAACTATTTTAAGAAAATAACTGTAGTCCTCAAAGAGTTAATGATAAAACTGCTCTACCTTAACAGATGTGGAAAGGTTATCATGAAACAGCTTACAGATTTGTTCAAAAGGCATACTTTACAAAGAAGTGTAAAACTTGCTGAGACAATTGCTATTACACTGCACAGTGTCACATACAATGAGTAGTGCATGCTCTGTAAAGACATTAGAGTGGACCCTTATCAAAGCTATCATATAACCTTATACAAAGGATTGTGCCACTTAAACTAGTGCAGAGTGATTTTTTTTCTGTAGATTTATAATGCTCTAGATTAATATCAATAGGGTTTTTCACAGCCTTGTACAACACTTTTTTTTGTTCTTTTTTTTAACACATGTAACACTAGAAAACAGCAAATGGTATATCCTGACATATGTCATGCAAAATACAACCAATACAGCACCATAGATGTAACAGAGACACTACCTAGCACTTCTCTCCAACAAGAAAAAGGACAGAACAGAGACTGTACATTACACGACTTTACAGGCCATATGCTACAGAAGATCTTCAGAGGCAGTATCACTTTTGTAGATCTAAAAAGCTGTAATTTTATAAAATCTTGTTTATCATTTCTACCATAGTCACTTCTGATTAAAATCCATGGCATAGTAATAATATTTTGCTACAAAAATAAATAAGTAAAAGTTTAAGATGCTGATATGTTTATAAAAAGTGTCTGAAGTTACTACATAACAAAAGTGAAAATGAATGAAGCGATGTATTTCTAAAGAAATGTTCTGTGTAACAAAAGGATATTGCCTCTCATATTCAATTGTCTGGACTTCATTTTCTAATTATCTTTCAGAATAATTTTATAACTTTCTTTTAAAAATAACTTCACTTTAGAACTGTCACTATCTCTTTCTCTTAGACTCTTATTAAGAAAATGGAAATAAAGATGGAAAAGCTGTACAATTTACTGATGAGCTACACAAATATGTCATCTTATTTAGTTTGGAATAAAACCAAAGATAACAATGGTTTAGGGGGAAAAACCACATTATGATGGCCCACGAACTACACAGTAGTTTCATTTTTCCAAGGGCCGGTTTTGATATTTCCTGTACTATCTGAGCTGTATATCATGGCTTCATGCACGTTTCCCTTGAGAATTCCGTTGTGATTCGTCGTATTAAATGGCAATGACTGTGTCCGTGGGTGCATTTCAAAATGAGCTGGATGGTGCACAGTGTCACTTTCTGTCATTTTAGCGCAACTATATATTACAGTACTCGCGTCGCTACTTTCGGGCTGGTTGACAGTAGGATATGGATCGCTTTTGGAACAGCAGGCCCGTCTGTGACCTGACTGGCTATCATGCGTACTGTGGGGACTGTCTGTATGTGAGCTGTGGATGCTGCCATCGATACTTGAAGGAATGTGATAGGCGTACTCTCTTTCACCTGCAGACCTATGCCGACTGAAATAACGTGGCTTAGTTCTGCTTTTCAGACATCTATGAATGTGCATATTGGGTCTGAAGGTTCCCTCGTTGTGGACATGAATGTGAGCTTCATCATCAAGCAGCTGATCACAGTGCATTTTTGCACAACATGGTGTCACAGGCGAAAGGCAGTTAACATGATTTTGAACTGCTTGTAGGTTAGTAAGTTTGCAGTGGCTAGCCGCTGGATGATTAAACACAGCTGATTTGTTGGGACATGGAGATTCCTGAAGACAAGGTGCATGAACTTGAGTGTCGCCATTGACATTAACCTTTGGACGCACATTAACTTGAACAGAATAGGTGTTTCTTCTAGATGGGCAACAGGACCACCAGCAATGCCACACATCATCTCGCTTTGCACAGTGATGGATCAGGATGAAAAGCCCCAAGGTCACACAGAAGGCTCCGTAAAGACAGCTAAATATCATATCCAAGAAATGACCTTGAGATACTGCAAGTGCTCCAAAGGTCCAAGTGGCAGTAAACAGGAATAAAGTGAATGCTGCAGCTCGAAGCTGAGCCTTAAATGAATGCTCATTTTCCAATAAGGAAGAAGAAATCATCGAGCATGTTGACTGGGGAACGGACACTGTGTCTGTAATATGACTGTGGCCCACTTCTGTACTTGGTATTCTCTGCGGATCTTCTGTCTTTTCCTTTAACTCATACTTGCGTTCAGGATGGCGCTTCAGTTGCACGTACGTGCAGAGAAAGTAAACACAGGTGACTAGCACAATGAATGCTACTGGCCCATAAAAAGCACCGAGACTAGGCTCCCATGCCATCCAGCAACTGAAAACAACAAAAAAAGAGAGTCAAGAACATTTTATAGCCCACATGAGATGTGATGGACAACTGACTAGTGTGAAACTGGGCTTTCTAACTTGTATGACCCAACAGTGTCTCAGAAATTTGGGTATGTTGCTTGTGGAGAAAGGGAGTGTGTCTTTAATACCAATTAAGCTGAGGCATCAATTTCATATTTTTAATAAAATAAAATGTCTAGTATAATTTACAGGATATTAAAGCTGAAAATTTCCAAGAAATGTAGGTCGGTTTAGAATCTAGAATTGCAGTGAAGTATAAGACCATGGATGTCAACCCTTTTTTCTACTATTAAAAATGTCAGCGTTAATACTTTGATTAAAAAGCAAATGAGGAATAGTTTATACAATCTGTATGAGCAATAGAAATGTACAGATTTCAATGGTTTGTATCAACGACAATTGATACAAACTCTTAAGCCTGAAGATTGTTCTTCCAGAATTTTCTTGCCAAAGTAGAGAATAGCTTGAGTAACAAGAGAGGCTGAAAAAAGTCTTCCAGTTGAACAGTGACCGCTTTCTGCAGTGAGTGGACCCAAAAGATATATGCCATTTCTGGATTCTCCACTGTTTCTGAAATTCCTGGGAGTTAATTTACATCAATTTGAACGTCCTCAGAAACATTAAGGAAATCAATGGCCTCTGTGATACAGTGGTAGCATAATATTATTGTAGCATGGATCACTATTTGCTAGGCTTTAAATAATATAACCATAACTGTTTTGGAGCAGTTTATAGTTCACATCAGGCCAGTATAAGCTGAATAAGCCTCAGTCAGCTGCATAACTTAGTAGGAGTCTAACAGGACTGTTTTGAGGATGAACAATCTAATCAAATAAACATAGGAGAAGAAAACACTTCTGGCTAACGAAATCTCAAAAGGAAACCGGGAAAACTTGGGTCAGGAGGAGAAGGAATATAAGGAATATTTGCCTAGTTTTTATTCTTCTCTATGATCTGCTTTTAGCCATAGTTACAGAAAGAGAACTGAGCTGACGGTATAAGTCAGTACAGCCATTATTAGGTTCTTATACTCTAAATATTGCATGGATTTCTGGAAAGAGGAATAAGTTACTTTCCTTATCTGTTGGACTAGGACAAGAAGTAATGGGCTTAAACTGCAGCAAGAAAGATTTAAATTAGATTTTAAAAAAAGCTTTCTAGCTGTTACGACAATTAGGATAATAAGCTGTTGGAATGAAGCGTAGTCTATCCATTATCGGAGCATTTAAAGCACCTCAGATAAATAACTGTCAGGAATGGTTTGGATATAGCTAGTTTCCCACTGGGTCAGAAAGACAGACCAGGTGACCTGTCATAATCCATTCCAACTGTAAAAGTGACACTGTGTGACACTTCATACTCATTTAGGCGTGTGTGATTGGTTGCAGTCCCTCCAATACAGCATGAAACCTTCTGGTATCACATTCTTGTCAAGCCAGGAATCATCTACCACTTACTACAAAAAGGGCAGAATGTATTTTTTTCCCAGGCTGAGAACCTCTCAGCTAAAAAGAGGCTGTCCAACTGGGTATTTATTCAAGAAACTGCAGAATAACTACTGTAAATTTAAAAAATCTGAACCTTAACCAAAAACATATACACATCTATTAATGAACATAAAGACACTCCAAGAAGCATATATATTTTGCTGTCAGACATGCACATGAAAAGATTCCCTGAAAGATATCTGTGAAAGGATAGATAAGTTACCACCTATATTTTATTGCATAAGCAGAGAGCACAAAGCTACATGAATACTTGGAAGTACATTTGAATGCTGCTTATTTGATGCAAAGTGGAGAACGGAACAGTCCCCAGTGGAACAGTCTTTTGGGATGCTCTTATTTCAAGTGGAATCTCATTGTGGATCACTTAAAAAATCAGTTCTGTAAAAAGAAGTTCAAGT